AGGCAACAGAACAGGCGAGCTGGTGCCCATCCCCACCATCCTCCTCCTCCCTGGAGACCTGCGGCAGTCTCACACCAGATGTGGAGCAGTGGTGGCATGCTCTTCATCCTTCTGAGCTCAGCTATGCTCTTGGTTCTGTCTCCAGCTGCTGGGATCTTCCCCAGGTGCCTGGTTGCTGCCATTTTTGGGTACCTGCTTGCTGAGCTCTGCAGCTCCTCAAGGACCTTTGGGGTGGCTCTCAGTCACCTTCTTCTTCCAGTGCCCACGGTGAGGCAGAGCCCTACTGTGTTTTGCAGTCTGTGGTGTTGCTGGGTGGTGGGACTTCAGTTCATGCCCTCAGCCCCACTGCTCTGCCTGCAGCACCTCTCCTCCCCAGTTCCCAAGCACACAGAGCTGTGCTCAGCCCCACAGCACTGCATGGCTCAGCCTGAGCTCTGCCGCCTGTGCTGCCAAAGCTTTCTTTCTGCTCCTCGGCTCTTCCCTTCAGAGACTTGTTTATGGCCCTCAGGAGCTGACTGGCTCCTGGCACCTCTCCCACCCCGGCAGATGACACTGCAGCAAAGCCTCCCGCCCTCGCCCCACTCCTCCTCGCCCCACTGCTGCAGTTCGGGGACCTGTTGGCATGGCTGCCTCTGCAGGGAGATGGGCTGGAAGACTTCGAGAGCCAGAAAAGACCTGGCACTGGCATGACAGCAGCAAGAAGCCAAAAGGCTCAGATGGTTTTAAATGTCAACGAGAGGTGCGAATGCATCTCGGAGACAGCATGGTCAGGAGTGATAGTGTTTTGCAGACAGCCACTTTCCCAGAGCCAGCACTGCCTCTCGGGGCTGTGACTTTACCCTGCCCTGTGGCGTGGTGGTGACAGGCACGTCAGAGGACTGTGCTGTGTCCCTGCCCTCAGTGTGATGCTGGGCTGCCGGGGCCAGAGATCCTGATAAGCTGACGCGTGTCTCCTGTGGCTCATCTGACCTTTCCCATTAATAATCAATCTGTACTGGCACTCAGAGGTGGAGGAAAGCAGCAGCCATCCTTTTTCTGCTGTGTATTTGCTTGCTCTTCTCTGCCACCCCCCTAAAAAGAGTTTGAAGTCTCCAGGTGTCAGCGAGTTCCCATGCCAGCCATCTGTCCCATTTCCCTCAGTAACCATTTGTCCTTTTCTCCTTCATTGGGTACCCAAAGCAGATCCTGACCACCAGACCCTTTCTCTCGGTTCCCTTTGCTCTCCAGATCATCCCTGATTTGTCACTGTCCTCACCTCAAAGTGCAATGTCCCATGCAGTGGACATACCCTGCTCACGCAGCTCCATTTGTTCAATTCTGGGAGCATTCAGGGAATTCAAACCCTCATTTTTAGGGATGTGGCTTTGGAGAAGCAGAGCTGGAGCTGTGATGTGTTAATCTGATGGCTGCTGCTTTGACTAATGATGTGTATACTGAGCTGGTAACTTGCAGAACAAAATTGCAGCAGTGGAGGTGCGTGGGCACAGCTGGGGCTCAGGCTGCTCGCAGGTCCCCGTCTCTCAGCACTCACACGCCCAGCACCTCCACACTACCTCCACACCTCCTCACTCCCTTGCTTCTCGTGCTGTATTTTCCTCCCAGCAGAACCAGGCAGAGGAATGTGGCACTCCAGAAGTGCACATCTACCCAGGAGCCCTGCTGCTGCTTACCCAGGCTGCTTGGTGCTTGCTGGCTCTTCCAGCTGGCTGGCTGTGCCATGTCCCAGAGGAGACTGAGGAAGGAGCAGCTGGGGTGCTGCTGCTCTTCTGCCATCAGAAATGGGTTCTGGGCAGTGAGGGCAGTTCCTGGAAGCCCCTCATTAAAACCAAGGCCACCTGGGGCTTTGAGCACAGCTCTGATATTGCTGCTGCTGGAAGTATGGAGCAATCTGTGTTGGAAGGAGCGATGCTCTGCTACCCACACCATTGGAGCTGCAAGAGAAAACTGGGAACTTCTCTGTGAGATAATTATTCTGGGACATAGGTCTCTGTAGCACCACTTGTTTTACCCCAAGGCCCCCCTTCTACCTGCATGCTGGGCTGCTCACACTGACTGGTGCAGATGGGAGGAAGTGGCATGAGCTGGGAAGCACTCTCCAGGCAGGAACAGAGATTCCCCTCCATCTAAGTGGAGCTGGGCTGAAGCCAAGTGTGTTGGAAAAGTCTTAGAGGTCCTTGATTACAGAGGGGTGGCCTGGTGTGAAGAGTGGGAAAAGAGCCAGGAAAGAGGCAGAGAGGAATCCCTGATGTGAAACCTCTTGGCTCAGTGCAGCCACCCAAGGCCTCCTAATGACCATCTCCAGATCCAGCACAGGTTCCCAAACTAGCAGAGATGAGAGTGCATTTGGCCTAATGGAATTACCCCGGTGCCCTGGCTCCATCTGCTGATTTGAATTGCATCTGACTGATGTCCAGATGAGGCAGCAGAGGAGCAGTGGCATCCTCCACACAACACCTGCACCCTCTGTGCAGTGCCTGCATCCCTCAGTGATACCTGTGGTCCCTCCTGGAGAGCCTGGAAGGCTGCGGGGCTGCTGGCTGAACACACAGCAGGCTGTGTACTCTCTTACCACTCTTCTCTCCACCGCTGATAGGCACAACACAGCTGAACTGCAGACTTTTCACTCCTTCTGCTCTGATTGCCATTGCAGGAGGCTTGCAAGCCACCAGCAGCTTCTTCTTGGTAAGCCCATGGGCTACCTTCCCACATTTTGTGTCTTAGCTGGTGTTCCCCTGCAGAGCCCTGGGAAGAGACTGGCTCTCTGCTTGGGGGGTGAGTCCATCCTATGCCCCTAAGGCTCCCGTTAAAAATTCTGATTCATTTCTGGAGCTACCTTTCTGAGAGAGGCTTTAACAAGGAGGATGGAGCCAAGGGCATTTGAGAGTTGAGCAGTGAGGAGGAACAAAAGCGGGGCAGAAAAAAACTGCTGAGGTTGAGGGTTCCTCCAGGAGGAGAAGGGTAAGTCACCACCAGCCACCAGCACTGCTTTCCCCACCCAAAGCTCCCAGGGGGGAGAACCCACCAAAAGCTGGTGGCTTGGAGAAGGCCCTGAGTATTGCAGGCCAGCCTCAGCAGTGAGGAAAACACCACTTAAACATTATTTAATGTTCCTCTTCAGTGGAGATGGCTATTTACCAGTGAGAAATTTTGGGGCTGAAGAGTCACAGCTTGGGTAATGCTGGATAATGTCCTTGGGAGGGGGAAGTGCTGGCAGGATTTATAGCAAGTCTTTGGGGCTTGGCTTCCATAGTTAGATCTGGCACAGATTTAGAAAAGCAGCTGGAGGATGAGTTTGTGCTTGGAATCATTAGCAGTAAGGGTTGCACTGAATTGCTGAGCGCAACCTGCAGGAGAAACAGCTTCAAGGCTTTTTGTCAAGGCCAGCGCAATAACCGAGCACACACGTGTGCGTGACAGATGCTCCTCATTGTGTGCAAAGAGATCCTGGTCTGCCCTACCCGATTTTGGGAGGCGTTTCAGCTGCAGAGCAGCCTGCAGCCCTCCAGTGTGACATGGTAGGAGCCTGGCCGTGTGCTTCCAGCATCTCCAAAATTGTCTGTTTCCAGTGCCCCACTGGGTGGAAGCTCCTGTTTTTAACCCTCAACATCTCACCAGGGAGCTGGTGGCTGGGATCACAGCTCCTTCTGTGTGCGTGGAGGCTGAGCAGCTTTCCAGGGAGCTCTGGGGGTGGATAATGAAGGACCTGGTGCTCAGAGTGAGGAGCTCCTGAGCTGGGCAGAGCCAGCCCAATTGTTTTTGAAGCAATTTAGTGGCAGGTGATGGAGCTGACATGGTGGTGGAGAGCCAGCAGGCTGGGGAAAGCACAGACAGGCACTTGATGCAATGGAAACGGTGGCCAGGAGATCCTATTGCTTCCATTTTCAGAATTCTAATGTTGTGACTGTCTGTGGCATTGGCATCAGTCGTGGTGTTTCTCTGATTTGCAGGTCGTTCTTGATGGAAATGCAGTTAATTCCCCAGAGTGAGACACGCAGCAGGTGAGTGCTGGGGTACATCCCCCGAGGGGACGTTGTAGGACACTGTGGATGCCCTACCCTTGGAGGAGCTCAAGGCCAGGCTAGATGGGGCCCTGATCTGCTGGGTAGCAATCCTGTCCACAGCAGAGGGTTGGAACTGGATGATCTTTAAGGTCCCTTCCAACCCAAACCATTCTCTATGAACGCTGAGGTGAGGCTATTGCTCATCTGCTGCTGACGGTCCACCTTCTCGCCCTTCCCTTTGAATTTAGCTGTGCCCAGCAGAGCTCTGGGCTGGTTTCTCTCTGCGTTTGGCTCAGACATCTCTCTGCTATCCACTGGTGAAGCAGCTGCGATGATCACCTGGTGATGAGAGTTTGTTCAGACCCCTGACGTGGTCTCAGGGCAGCTCCAACCTATACGTGGAGGTGCAGCAGGCACAAGGCTGGGTTGTGGGATTTACCCCAGGGACCGAGCAGGAGGCAGATGCTGTCAAGGTGTCCTCTGTGCTCCCAGAGGATGCTAAGTAGGATTCCCTGTTGATATTGTTTTGTTTTGGTTTTTTTCTTCTCCCATTGATGGCTTTATTGCAATTCTCCTGGAAGAGTTCGGGGAACTGACATGAGGTGAGCGTAAGCCCCAATTTAAGAGCAGTGCAGTCGGATGCGCTGCGCCTGGGGGGTGGTGGCAGTTAAAGTAAACGGAATAATAAATAATAAATAAAATAAAAATAAATAATAAAATAAAATAAAAATAAAATAAAAATAAAAATAAAAAATAAATAATAAAATAAAAATAAAAAAATAATAAAAAAATAATAAAAATAAAAAAATAAAAATAAAAATAAAATAAAAAAACCCAGCCCCCCGGCCCAGGCGGGGCCGCTCCCCCAGCGCTGCATTAAGGCTCCATTCCCGCCAGGGGGCGCCGCCACTCCCCCCCCCCCCCCCCCCCCCCCCGCCTCCCCGCTCCCCTCGGCCGTCTCCATGGCGACCGCTGGCTGCGTAGCGGCCCTTACGAAGCTGACGCAGTGGGCGGCCCGGCACGGGCGGAGGCGGTGTTAGAGAATCGGGGGGCCGCGAGGCCCCCGGCATGGAGGCGGCGGCGGCGGCTCCGGGCCTGCGGCGGGGGAGGCGGCGCGGAGGTGAGGGCGGGCGGCGGAGAGTAACGGGCCGGCGGGGGCGGCCGCGGGAGGGGCGGCGGGGCCTCATGGCAGGAGGGGAGGGCCGGGCCCGGAGGGGCAGGGAGGAGGCCCCGCGGCAGGTGCCGGCCCGGGCGGCCTCCGGCCCTTCGCGCGGAGGCGGCTGCGGCTGCCCCCGGCTCTTCGCTCGCCCGCGGGGTGCCGCGTGCCACCGGCCGCCCTTTGGCTTCCAGAGGACGCCGTGCGATGTGGCTGTATGGGAGGAGCCGGTCCCTTCCCGCAGGCGGCTCCGGGGGCACCGCGCCGGCCGCGCTGTCGCCGCCCGCCTGGAGGGAGGTGGGCTGAGCGCCGTGGGTGTGACACGCGGCTCCGTCTCTCAGCCTTCGTCGCATCTCCGCAGGGACCGGCGTCTGGAGAAGTTCCCCGGCACCGCGAGCGCTCCCGTGCCATGCGTCTGCCACAGCGGGCGAGCGGCCCCGTCTGTAGTTAAGGTCAGAGATGTGCCTGCTTCCCATAGATAACGCCGAGGTGTTGTAGCCGGGGCGTTGCCGGGATTACGGAACCCGTGCTGGGAGCGTTGTGGGGATTGCCGCCTGCCTGCCTGCGTGCTTGGGACGTGGGGAGCGTGGAGCTGGCGGCTGCTGGCTCTGCGGGTCCCTGGTGCAAACAGAGCCGGTTCCGAGTGGGAAGGTAGACCGTAAGCTGGTGTAAGTGTCACGCGTCGGAAGCCAATCCTTGATGGTTTGTTGGAAGAAACCGGTTCTGTGTGAAAGCGCAACCTCCGCCAAGGTGAGATGGCGGGATAAAAGCCTGCGTTACCTGGGGGTGTGTGGCTGCATCCTGCTTGGGTGAGGAGAAGTGCGGAGATCCTGCGGTCAGGCAAAGTGTTTTAAAAATAGCCCTGCTTGGGAGACAATGAAACTGTAGAAAGTGGCTTCTGCAAAGCCAGATTCTTTAATCTCTGGCTTTTATGACATCCGCTTCAGTGGAATGCGTGGTGCGGTGGGGAATTGTCCACACCGTTCAGGGGGTTTGTGTGTGATTGGGGAGGAATTGGTCACCGCTGGGAAGGCTTTAAAATAGAGAACGTTATCTAGGTGTAGCTATTCGTGGTCTTAGGTGTTAGCTTTCTGTGTCGTAAAAATTGCATTGGGTTCCTAAAGCTGCTGATCAGATTACTGCTCAGCCTGGTGAATGTGCAGGCAAGCAGCCCTGTGATGGCTAATGGGCAAGATCCAGAAAGAAATACCACTGTAGGTGAGGGATGTAATATAGAACTTCTGTAACCAAAACTCAGAAAGGAGCAGGACAGATATTCCCCTGTTTGATCACTATTTGGGGCTCGCCATCTTTGCTGTGTTTGTAAAAACTTTGCTCCCTTTGTAGTATGCTGCAAAGTTCTGGGCTTGGTGTTGTGAACTATGTGCTGCTGCACCAACCTCGTTAGCGCTGTTCTGTAAAATGAGGTTTGATCAGAGTTCCATTTTAGGGAACTGGATTAGATCCTTTTGATCACTGTCTGCAGAATCATATCAGAGTTCTTAGAAACTGGGATGTCTGCGGCTTCTGATGACTTAGTCCTTGCTGGAAATGGGCAATGAAAAGGGCAAACTTCCCTCTGCTGTGTCTGCCTGTTCCTCTTTTTGAGCCCTAGGAAGGAACAGCTGTGCAACACTGTGAGTGCTTAAAATTAAGAAAAGTGAGAAGGTCAGAAATATTTCTTCAGTGGGAATGGAGCTTGCATCATTGTGATCTGAGCTTTAGTCCTAGGGTGTTGAAGATGGAGATGTTTTAATGGCTTTTTACAGTATCAAAGACAAAAATGGGCACAGGGGTATTTCAAGTGCAGCCTCATCATAGAAATGAATTAATCTTGAGATGGAGTCTCAAAACTAGGTCACTTTGGTTTCTGTGTTACAGTAGAACTGTATGAATTTGCAAACAGGATTCACATGCTCCTTTAAACCTCCGTGACTTAGAAAACTCTCCAAAAGCATTGCAAACATCAGACTTTTTGCTTTTGCAGATGCCTTTCAGGCAAGCTGGAGGCCTGCAGAATTGCAGGACTGCTAACATTCGAGAGCATAAACCTCAGTTTGCTTGGTAGGTTGTTTGACTATGGGAGGTGAGGGGGGACTTTGAATCACTTATGGCCTTGCCTGCAGCATCATGATCTTTCATACATTAATTCAGAGGGGATTCTGTTCTCCCTGCTGCTGGGGGAAGGATGCTTGGGACTTTTCCTCGCACAGCAAAAGTTTTTACAGCTACTCTAGAAACTCATAGAAACTGCCCTGGTAGTTTCTGTGATGGGGAATCTGCCTGTGCCCTGCTTGTTGTCTGAGAAACCTTCACTTTTCAACTTGCCACCCAGGTGGCAATTAGTAGTCCTTGCTTACAGCTGATGATCAGATTCTGACAAGGATCCAGCAGATGGATGAGTACCTCCTGAGCTGGATTCCGCAGCAGTTTTTGAGGAAGTTATATTCAGTAAGGCAGCCATTGAAATGCTTAGAGCGGTGACATGATTTTCATCTGCTTTTAGAGAGCTTTGGGGCTGGTTGATTCTTAGAAGGAAGACTTTGGGGTTTATGAAAGTGCCCTTTATCAGAGAATCATAGAATGGCCTGGGCTGAAAAGGACCACAGTGATCACTTAGTTTCAACCCCCCTCCTGTGTGCAGGGTCACCAACCAGCAGACCAGGCTGCCCAGAGCCACATCCAGCCTGGCCTTGAATGCCTGCAGGGATGGGGCATCCACAGCCTCCTTGGGCAACCTGTTCCAGTGCATCACCACCCTCTTTATGTTATCTGTACTCTGACAACGGAACTTGTGAGATACGTGGATAGCTTTGGGATGTTTATTCATGCAGGAACAGATTTTTCTCAAGTAAATCAAGCTTTTAACTTGAAACTTTGTGCAGGTATCTTCTTTATTCTGCACTGTACATACATGATAATGGCATTCAAGTCCATGTCTGCCAAAACAAGCATGCAGGACATGTTTTTCATGGTGGTGGGAATGGCTATGATACTTCTTGTTAGAACTGCATTCCTTCAGCTTCAAGCTAACACTCGGTGGCTTTACTTTTTCTAAAGAGAAATCTGAGGGAAAAACCTTAAAAACTTGTTTGCAGCAGAATCTACCTACCTGTGAGCTTTTAAATGTGAAGAAATGGGAGTTAAGGAAAAAAATGGGAAAAGTTTGTCCAATGGAAACCTGAACACCTAAATCTCACTCTGCTCTCTGATAGTACAACATGCATCCTGTCTCCTGAGTGCAATTGCTCTACGTATGATTCTGTAGTACAAGATGCTAAGCACTCTTCTAATCCTGCTAGCTTGTTTGAGTGTCTGAGTTTGTCATATGGTGCCTGGCATATGGATCCAGATGCATTATGAAACTAACACACCCTTAACTGGTCTGCTGGAGAAGGCAATTAACTGTTTGCAGCACTATTGCAGGCTTTGAAGGAGCAACATACAATGAAGTAGAATGTCCTAGCATACACAAAATTTGGGTTTAAATGCAGAACAGAATACTGCTGTACCTTGTTGATGATTTTGAATGAAATTCCTACTGAGCATTGGGGAGGAAAAAAATGTGCCCCCTATTTTCAATCATTTATTTCTTCATTTCCATTCTTTTCCTTGCTCCTTGTTATTTTTTCTTCTGCCCCATCCAGTGAGAGGAATGCAGGTCCCTTACCTCTTACACCTGATGCACTTGAAAAGATGACAAGCTAAAAGATTAAATTAAAAAAAAAAAAAAAAAAGAAAGCAGATTATCTTCACCTTTCTTGCAGCAGGAGTAGAAAATCTGCATTGCAAGCAGAATGTAGGGAGTTTTGCTGTGTATGTTTTAACCCCTAATCTTCCCTTAGGGTTGGAAGGGCACTGATGGCCCCCTGCAGGAGTCAGTTTGCTGCCTTTACTGCTGGGATGCCTGACTTGGTGCAGTTTGCTGACGTGTGAGATGAGAAGGTTTGCTTGAAGCACCTAATCAGTGAGGCTGTTGGGTTACTGAAGAGCTTAGAGCTACACTTGCAGAGCGAGAGACTTGCTGATGCTGAGTTTGTTGCTGTGAGATTTTCTTCCTCTTGTAGAGATGCAAGTGAGATGATTTTATCCAGTGCTTATAGATGCAGGATGTAGATATAGGAGTAATTAACTAGTCAACAGTAGCATAAATGTGTAGGTACTTTAAGCTTTCGCTGTATCTTTCTTGTGTACCTTCTGTTTGGTTTATTGGCCTGGAGGGATGGAGCATAGCACAGACCTGGGGTATCCTGAGCTCAGATGCAGGCAGACTGAATCCTGTACTGGATGATAGGAAGAAGTGGCAAAATTCAGTATCTTGTATGGTGTTCTTGCAGTAAGTGCCATAAAAAGGGACAGGTTGCTATGGGTAAAAACTTGAAGTGCATTTCTCCCCAAAAGGTTTTCTCTTGGATTTCTTATGTATAAAGTTGGAATTCACACAGCTCTGCATCTTTCACGAAGAAAAATAAAAATTATTTGGCACGGTTTCTATAACATGCTTGCTGGTGTTTACAGCTGTAGATAAAGCCTCAATGTGGTTTTAGAATATAGATGCCAGCTCAGAAGTCTGAGCCTCTGGAGGCTTGCTTTTTCCCCATGTGATCTGCTAAATGATCTTGCAAAGCTCTGCTATTTTCTCTCGTGGGAAATTAACTATTTCGCTTCCCTTAACACAAGAGCAAGTCACATGCTTTTTTTGTGAGTTTGCAGTATCTCAGTCAGCCTACGACTGTCCTAAATAAAGCAATTCCTATCTTCTGTTACCTCGCATACTGTATTACTGGATTGTATCAGAAGTGTTTTTCATCCAAATTCAACCCAGGCTGGATGTGGCTCTGGGCAGCCTGGTCTGCTGGTTGGTCACCCTGCACATAGCAGGGGGGTTGAAACTAACTGATCGTTGTGGTCCTTTTCAACCCAGGCCATTCTATGATTCTATCTTGTAACTTCCCTTTATGCTTTGATAATATCCAAAATGGGTATTCTTTCTTTGCTGAAATTCAGCTCAGATGTCACTCTTTGAAATTCAGAGCAGCCAATGAACTCAGCGCAGCTCTCCATTGCTAACCGACTCAGGAGCAGTAAGTGGACAACTCTGCTGCTTGCTTGCAGCAGGACTCAAAACAAGACCTCTTTTGGAAGTGCATCAGCTTGTCCTGAAGAATGTCTGCCTCACCCCTTCTGGCCCAGCTGCCCAAAGAAGTGTGTGTGCCCCATCCCTGGAGGTGCCCAAAGCCAGGCTGAATGATGCCCTATGCAGCCTGAGCTGATGGGAGGCAGCCAGCCCATGGGCAGGCACTGGGGCTGGGGGAGCTTTTAAGTTCCCTTCCAACCTAAGCCTATGACTTAGAAGTGGAAAAGTTTTTCTAGCCCAGCAGTCTGTATGTTGTGTTCCAGACTCTTCCCTGCTGAGATGATTTGTCTTTCTTTTTAAAAGGTGCAAGTGCATCACCTCTCTGCCAGACCGAACCTTTTACACTACACTCTTGTTACTGTGCTGTCTGATTCAGTTGTTTGTCACCATCTCCATGGCATTCAAGCGTCTGCTGGTGACAACTGCTTCACCAAATGAGAGCATTCAACTACGAACCTCAACCTCTGCACTTAGAGGGATGGTGTGCCTGCAGTCCCCAGTCAGTGGAAATGAAAGTTCCAATTTGCTCTATTGAATGGTGGGTTCCTCAAAAGAAAGCAAAGAAGCAGCAATTTGTGACTTTGGTTATGCTGTGGTGGATGTTCTTCCCCGA